ATAGCCTTGCTAAACAGGACTTTTGTGGGAGTGTCAGAAAGAGAGCACAATTCATCTGAGTATTAAAGCCATGCTTTAAAATAAAAATATTTATATGCTATATAAAAATATAATTTACATATATATTTTTATTACGTTCTCCTCCACCCTATGTCTGTGCAGTGGATAATACCAGTTTTCCAAGAAGCAAATGTGTCTCATTACATTATTGCGCATGTGTGCACACAAGTACATGTTTTGGTCCCACAGTCAAGACATGAGAGTAATTAATTCTAATCTGCAATACCCTTTGAGTACCTTTTTTTTTTCCAAATGGATTTCTTGCTTTGTCTTTTTAGTCAGTAAAAAATGAATGGAAAACAGCACTTCCACTTGGGAAAAAATTTGCCGAATCCAATTTGAACAGTATTAGAAGAAAGAATGTAAGACCTTTTAGTCTGTAGCATAAACCGTAACCACTTGAACTATGAAGCAGTTGGTAGAAGTGGTGTGTTAATACTTACAGCATGGACCACTGCTGGATAGCACAACCTGGGGATTTTGTTAAACAACAGAAGAGTCAAAAAGTAATAATAGTTTCTATTCTTGCCTCTTGAAATGTCTTTCTAGCTCATTCTGTTTTGTTTTGTTTCAGTAGTTTTCTTTTCATAAGTGGGAATAATTTTTATTGAAATGAATTAAAAGAAATTTTAGTAACAATAGTTTAACTACCCAAGATGTAAGATAACTGGAATAATTCATTTAGCTTAATAACTTCTTGTTAGACCCCCCATTGGAACAATATTATAAGTAGGAATGGAGAATAAAAAATGAGAAAAGGAAATTAAAAGAAATGGCACATAAATTTTAACAGACAAAAGGGAATGGCAAAAAATTTACCCAAAGTTTCACTCTATTTGCCAGAAAAGAATAAGATTAAGTATTTTTAAAGTTTTCGCAAAATGTAGAGGCTATCGGAAAATGCTCTGTTTGAATTGACTGAGGGGGGAAATGAAAAGGTGATGTGGAGTAGATGAAGCAAAAGCACCTGTTTTTAATGGAAAAATGAATTTTCTATTAAAAAAAATCTTATAAGATTAGATTTGGAGTTGTCGCCATGTAGGTGGTGTGGTTCAGCTACTTCTGTTTTTTCTGGCCTACAATAGGGCTGCAGCATGAGGGATGGACCCTGTATGAAGCATACCACGTATGTTTTGAGAGACCTAATCTAGCCACTAAAGATGAAAGCAAATGAAATATCAAAAGTAATACATCAAGATGAAATTTCCCCAAAAAAACAATATACAGGTTCATTATGGGTTTTTCGCCTAGAACAAATATCAAAGCTTTGAGTAACGCTTTTTTTTGTCTCTTTTCAGCTACAACATAACACTTGTATCTGAAAGGCCCTAGAAATGAGCACAGACTTGAGGGACTCTTTTGATACTTTCTCAGTAAAGGCAACGTCAGTGCTTTCAAACTTCTGTCAGAATGTAGAAGACTATAAATGAGATGCTCAGGAAACTCTATATAGGACAAAAGCATGTTCTTGAAACAGTTCAGTTCTTCTTTACAGGGTGGGAAGGTCAAGACCAAGAAAAAATGACTCTGAGCCTTTCTTTAAACACTACCTACTGCAGTTGGGATTGGATGTATGTTACTGGCTACTTTAAACTGTTCCAGTAATACACCTCAGTCAACACTGTTTGCAAGTAGGCTGCAAGGTAAAGGCTTTGTTTTAATTGGCAGTCTTGTCCAGGATGCAGAAAAGACAACATGAGTGGAATAGCGAGATGCAATGGACACAGGGGAAGGCACAACAGACCCAGGGCACAGGGAAGGTTACAGTTGCCTTGGCATCCACTACACTGGCTGCTCCTACTGCTGGCATTCCAAATATTTCCCCCCATTTTTCCCTCTCTCTTTTATTTTGGAAATATTTCTTTGCAAATCTGAAACAGCTAATGAATAGAGGCACCCACAAATATTTACTAGGGCTGATAAACAATGGAAAACTCAGTGAACAATCTCAGCTTATTTTTACAAAGATGAAAAGCTGTTCATGTTTGCCAGGTCTAGAAGCCTCAGGCCATCACCATTAAAATAGTAACAGCATCATCAGAATAAAAGGGACTCACAAATTGAGCTCTGGACCTTGTATCCACCGCAAAATTCACCTTTTTAAAGCGAAAATATGGGTTTCAAACCACATTGCTCAAACATACATGAATGCCACAGGGTGAGCTTTCAGTACATCTGTCTAACAGGCAAATATAAGCCTCTGGTTAAAGTCATTTTGAAAAGGACCTCTGGCTTCTTTCCTGTGAAGAGAAACAGAGAGGTAATACTACCTCTTTTTCTGATATGAACAGAGTTTGTAGGAAAGCAGGGCTGTGCACGAGTATTCACAGCTTTGAAAAGATTTTCCGGAACAAGAGAAGGTGCAGAAAAAGGTTTGAGATGAATCCTTATAAAATTACCATGCAAGGAGAAAAGTAAACAATACAATATCATAAAATATCACAGAATATGCCAAGTTGGAAGGGATCCACACTGATCATGGAGTTCAGCTCCTGGCCCTGCACAGGACCATCCTCAAGAGTCACACCATGTACCTGAGAGTATTGTCCAAATGGTTCTTGAAATCTATCAGGCTTGGTGAAATCTGTGAGGCCTTCCCTGCATCAGAAACAAATAAAAGATATCTTCTCTTGGTAGCAAGTCTGTACGGACGGTTACCTAAGTTCAACTAAATCCAAGTAAATTTTTGTGGATCTATTGGCTTATGTTTGGGCTTTAACCTGAATGTAGGATATTTTCAGATATAGTCCTGACCATGGTATCAGATCAGAAAACCCTAAATTAACGCATAGTGTATTCTAATACCATTTTTCCTCAAGTGCCAAGTAAAGACATCATCACCTTTGTTTGTGTGCTTCATTTGAACAGCCTAATGAAGGAAATCAAGCAACAGCACTTACCAGCTGCCTGCAGGAGGTCTGGCTCAAATGGGAATAGGAGTTAGGGAGATTAACAGAGGAGCTTCCTCTTGACCACTGCATTACAAGGTGATCCTGGCCAGGGCATGATACAGCAGAAAAGACTTTTTCCAAATGAAACCCTCTTCAATATGATGTAGGGCTCTGACTTGTCATGATGACACAATTTGTGTGCGTTTCTGCCCAAGCTTGGATAGAGAAATTATAGGCACTTAGTAAAGCAGTTGATTATGAAGCCAAGTATTTTTGAGAGCTGGTAAGCACAATTACTGTACTGCAGCAAGGTCCGTGGCACTTGCCAGAAGCTGCTCTTCAACTGACTTCTGTGTTAGCAGACTGCCAACTGGGTTAATGGGACCAGGAGCTGGAGGGTTTGAAAGCTTTTTGGCCAGTCTTTCGGCAGCAATCAGGAAAGTTGGAATTGTCACTGCCCTTTGCACTATGGTAAATTGTTGCATTACTACAAAACTTCCACTACTGTTAACATCTATTTTGAAATGCTACAATGGCTTCAGAATTAATTTGGGGAGTTTTTAGGATTTGCATAATCATTTGACAATTTGCAAAATGGTAGATAGATACTTGTAAAAGGTAATAGGAGGAATAAGACATGCTCTTTAAGGGTTCGACCAGATAAGCTTTTAAGGTTCTTTCTATCCTGGGTTGTTCAATGTTTGTTTCTAAAAGGAAACAGAAGATTATTGGCAAAACCCTGCAAAGACCTGGGATTGATGATGCTTGAAAGAGAATAATAAAATGGCATAAAAAGCCGCAAACTTACTTGCTCTGCTGCACTGGTACATATGGACCCTGAGGGAGAAAGTGGGTTTTGAAAAATAGATTCTTAAAGGCCTGAAATTGAGAATTTTGTAATTCCTTTGGTACCAGAGTAACATATGAGACCCAGACAGTTTAAATACCACAATGGTAGCATATTTTTCCCATGGCCCAGAGACTCTGCCTATCTGCAAAGTTCAAAATTTCATGCTGTTACCCGGGGCATTTCTAGCTTGAACTGTTAAAGGGGCATGAAGGGACACCTTCATCTGCTGTGCCTGGCAGCAACAAAGCTGCCCATTGCAACACAGTCAGTCTTGGAAGCAACAGGGCTACAGCTGTACAGGCTTGCACATGAGAGACCTGGGAAGTCACTACTTGAAGCCCACTTAAAACAATTTAATGATGTAAAAGGCTTTTAAAGAGTTTTCCCAGTTTCAACATCTCAACAGTACAGAATGAGTCAGCTGAACTTTTTTTTTTTGGTGAATAATCAGTTAGTTGCCTCTTTTGTTTGTGTGGGTCTGTCAAACTGCAAGGATAGAGGAGTTTGTTATTTTTGTGTTATTTTTGTAAATTTTTTTAATATAGAAAATGTGAATGTAAAACCAGCAGAAAATAACCTGTCATACTGTATCTATGTAGTACCTGAAATTACTTATAGCTCATTAAATGAAAATGAAAAGCTTGCACATTAACTGCAAGGTTGCTAGAATTGTGTGTATTTATTGTCTGTGAGACTGGAAAAAAAACTGAAAGGAAACCCTGCAATGATGTTCACATACTTAAAATGTTACTGTGGAGAATAATAATGGTTTTGTCTTCCACCAAGGAAAGGAACAGAAATGATGAACTGGATCTGTAACAGGAAAGATTCAGGCTTGACACCACAAAAGCCTCTCCATTAGCACATTAGTTAAGTGCTAAAGATTGCAGAAGAGGCTAGTGCATAGGGTTTTAATGAGCAGACTGTACGTGTCGTAGGCAAAATCAGTCATGAGTGATTCTCAACTGGGCAAGGGGATGTAGCAAACATCATCTCATGTTCCCTTTTATCCTCTTTTTCTACCATTTTATGAATCTTTTTTCTTCAAACTTTCAGACTGTTAGACTTTAACTTCTGTGGTCTGCTAAAATTTTTATTTCTCCACCCTATCTCCCAAACAAGCATATCTAGCTCCAACTGCAATCTCTAGGTCCTGGTACTTATTGCTTATTGGTATATCGTCTCATTCCAGAATGGCACTGCTGACTTTGTCTCCTGAATAACAAATAAATGTCATCATTGCAGAACTCACCAAAAGTTTGTTTAAACAAAGGGGGTTTTATGCCAATAATTTTTTCTCTTTCCTATCATAGAGCTTCCATTAGAGTGCCGGTGTAGATGCAGCACAGGCTGGGGCTGGAACTTTCACATCTTTATATTTTTTTTCCTCCAAGTGTACCTAGATAATGTTGCATATAGTGAAACCTGGCATTATATCCTTTCCAGAGCTCCTATCAGAGGAGCTGAACCATCAGTAGTAATGATTTTTTTTTTTTTATAAAGGCATGTGGCGATAGGACAAGGAAAACAGCCTTAAGTTGAAGGAGGATAGATTTAGATTAGATATTAGGAAGAGACTCTTTGCTGTGAGGGTGACGAGACACTGGAACAGGTTGCCCAGAGTAGCTGTGGATGCCCCATCCCTGGAAGTGTTCAAGGCCAGGTTGGTTCCATTGAGCAACCTGGTCTAGTGGAAGGAGTCCCTGCCCATGGCAGAGGGTTTGAAGCTAGATGATCTTTAAGGTCCCTCCCAACATAAAGCATTCTATTATTCTATGATGGTAAAAATGCTGGGAAGACTAAGTTCATTCCAACAACTGTTATAATTAGGGTCATTTTACGTGGGTTGTGGTTGATGTTATCTGGTCAGATAAAATATTGCATTCCGTGTTCCCACCCCACCCCAAAAATAAAAACCAAATCAAACCACAAACTAAACCAAACAGAAAATTCCCCCACAACCTCTCCCCCCCAAAAAAAACCAAACCCAGAAAAAAACTAAACCCCAAACTAAACAAACAATACCCACCCCGTCCAAAATCTACCCTTGAATATACTTACGATAAAATAGGAATGTCTCATCTCTATTCTCTCTTCCTTTGCCCAATCTTAACTTTTCAGAGGGTAGTTTAATGTGTGACCTCTGTGTTTTGGGAACTTGTCTACATCACTGAAATTACCTGGGAAAATTTAATCCAGAATTACAGAAACTATGCCAGCACTGTGGCTTTACACAAAATAGATCTGTCTCTTTTAGCCAACTTAACTCTGGTTTTGACACAGCAAGAAGCAGAATTCGTCCTTGGTTTGGGAACTGTGGTATCTCCATTACAGTCAGTCTTCTTATCCCGAAGATTATTGTGGATGAATCAGGTGGATTCATTTCGCTCCTCCTCATCATTCACAAGCCTGCCTTCTTTCAGAATATCTACATGTACAGGTTAGTATTTATGCATTGTTAAAGAAACTTATGAAGATAAAGGACTCAGAAAAGTTCTGATGGCATTTTGATGCCTGCAGATGGCATAAACACATAATTATCACAGAATATTCTAAGTTGGGAGGGATTCCACAGGGACCATTGAGTCCAGCTCTTAAGTGAATGACTCATATGTGAATTGAACCCATGACTTTGGCATTATGAGCACCAAGTTTTAACCAACTGAGCTAATCTAAACCTACTCCACTTTTAAAACTGATGGGCTTTGCCACCATTTTTTATGTGGCTCATAAGAATTTCCACCCTCCTCCTCACCTTCTAATCTGGATGCTGGATGACTGCTTATACGGCAACACTTGCTTCTGCTTTGGTTGTTTGAAAAAATAACATCTTGGCATTTTTCTACTTTCATATAATGAAAGAAACACCACAGATAAATTAGTTAAAACCACGACTACCAGATACCACAGGTGCTGACTTCTAACACTTTCATTAATAGCTCACTTGAACACTTAAAATTTCTGTTCCCAGTGTACTGCTAACCACTTTTTTTCCATCACCAGCACCTGCTTATCTACTTAGGGTATTGTCATAAATAATAACTAAATATTGCTCTTCCACCTTGCCTTTTCTTCTCCTTACTTGCCTCTAACTCTGCCTCCTCAAAATTTACTTCCCATTTCCTCTCATCTTACCCTCCTTCTATTTTCAGCAAGACTATAAGTTTTTGTAATGTTAAAAGACAGGCTTTTTATTCAAGTATTCCTTACATGCCCAAGTGATTTGCACTTTAGAAGAGGGGGGAGAGTGCATAGAAGATGGGGAAGAGTGCTTTGGATGAAATGCAAGCCCATGGAAGACAATAAGAGTTTTGCTATTAATTTCAATATAGCCAAAATTGGTGTTGTTTGTCCAAAACATGGTCATTTCCCTCTTATTTTTCTAAGTGGCTTCTCTTCTTAGGGATGAATAATCTTAGATTACCTATGCTGGTCTCTGAGTATTCTTTTTATCATGATATACTGAAAAGGGCATAAGATAGGCTCCTCTGTCCCTTTCGGATTTTTCCTTTTTGTCTTCATCTGGTAGTTTATCAGCACAATATATTCCAATCTTTCACTAGAACTATATTATTTCATTGCATTGCCCTGGATAGTTCTGGTCCCACTGCAAAAGATGTCAGTAGTCTTTTTGACTGTTATTTTTAATTACTTTGAAGTCTTGGGACACAAGGGTGGGACAAATATTTGTTCCAAAACCTACACGCAAGATATTTGTCCTTCAGGTACAGCCTAGACCGACCTTGCAGTTCTAAATTCAGGCTCTGCATTACACAGCATCACTTTTTGATGAATTCAGCACATTCCTGTCTGCAAAAATATTTTCCTTGACATCTATACACAAAAAAATAAGTGAATTAACAGAAAGGCAGTACCTCCATAAAATGATAGTGGAAGGGTCATCTGATGGGGAAGGACAGGGCATGTCCTTTTTCTTCTTTCCTCTAATTTCTTGGTGGTATTTATAATTCAGAAACCATATCCATAAATACATCAATTACAGGAAACTGTGGATAGAGGTGATGTGAACATGGGTCCCAGTGGTTCACATAGCAGAGACAAACATGTGTATGCCCAGCGTTATAAGATATTTTAGACCAGGTTAAATTATTTTCCTCCTCTCCTGCGTTTATTATTATCTGCTCTTTGACATGACTTGACCTACAGTCCATTGTCTGTGCCTGGCTTTGTTTATCCCTGGCTCACAGCCTCCTTTGTTTTGTTTCAAGGTAACAATGAAACAGAAATGCTGACAAAAGCAGGGCTAAGAAATTTTTTGCTCCCTCCCAACACCCCTGTGTAATAATAAGAAGCAATCACAGTACTCTCAGGATATTTGCCTAGGCTATAACTAAGAGAAGATTTTATAATATGGACTACCTTGTCCTATTGCAATATTTTTCCTATAGCAACTTTAAACTACTGCATACAGTTAAGTTCATTTTTATGAAACAGGAAGATTGAGATATGAAGTCCAAGGCTGAAGAACAAATCAGCACAAGTAGCAAGAGCAAAATAGGAACAGTGAGATATTTCCTAACACAGCTGCAAACATTCTTATGCACAGTTTCAAAACTGCTTTAATTCCTTTGGTGGTGTTGGTTTAAGCTGTTCCCTGTTGTGGATGGGCATTTCTCTGATTCTTGTCATAATTTTATATGTTAGAAGGAAAGTAGTTTAGGTTCAGTATTAGAAACTAAGTGCACGTTTCCATCTCAATATCAATTCCATATAGCCACAGCTGTTAAAATATAGCATATTTTTAATGACTGTGATATTTTTATACACAATTAGATGTTAACAAGCATATAAAGATTGATATTTGCAGTCTGTCTTGAATCTTCAGCAATAAACCACTCCTCTCCATTCACATCTCTTGCACATTACAAAGTAAGGTTTTCAGGTGCTTTTTGTCACTGAGGAATGTGACTAGAATGCTCCATTTCAACAGCATCCAAATGATTGTGGAATAAAGAGGCTTTTATTTCAGAATAGCATTTCTAATGGAAATTATTCCAGAATATGTTTTCACACAGTATCTGTTTGATTCACTTTTCTCATACAAACTCTAGACTGAATGAGTTAAATTAGTATTCAGACTTTATGTGTGTCAAATCCCAGGCTTCTATTCTAAAAATATAATGTATTCTGGAAAAAAAAAAATGGACTGACTAGGTTATATTGCCCAGGAGATTTTAGACTTCATGTATTTCTCTTTCACCTTTCATTTATTTTAACAGATTGCCTATTTGTAATTAGGACATCACTTAGCCAATTCTGAAAATACTTTTTATTTTAGGAGTAAATACAAAATCTTTTAACAGAAATATATAGCAACTCTCGGGTTTTTTTGTTTTGTTGTTGTTTTTTTTGGTTTTTTTTTTTTGCTTGGTAATCAGTCCTGCATTTGCCTGGCTGATTCAGGAATCCTGTGGGATAATCTTCTTTACAAAACTTGATCTGTGACTTCTCTTTCTCAGTAACTACATTAGTTCCAGAGGTGTGCTTTGGAGAAGAAACAGCTCAGCTTTTCCAGACCTCCAAATCTGACTTATTCTGTACTTTGAGTAAGTGGTCATATAGGCATTTATTTTATTAGACCTTGTTTATCTATTATTCACTGTTAACTATAGATGAGCACAGGACTGTGGTTTTGGTCTGTTGCTTTGTTGTTGTTTTTTAATATAAACAGCCTTTTGAACAACATGCTTTGCCTTCCATGGGCTGGGGGTACAGAAGAAAATTAAACAAAACAAAAAATCAAAACAAAGAAACCACACCAATGAACAAAAAATAATGAAACACACAATGTTTTCTGTATGGAACTAACTGCAGACAAGTTCATTAATTAAACCGTCCAACATGAAATTTAGTGGATAGTAAAATTCAGGCTACTGGTAATTTCTCACATTATTTTTCTTCTTTTATTTAAAATATTTAGGCATTCTCAGACTCCCTTTCTTTCAGACTAGCGATATTTTGAATAACACATTCCAAATGACATGAAGTTAACTTTGGAAAACAAGCCTGGATGAGTCTGGAAAACAAACCTATGAGCCAGACATCCCTCCTAAATCTGACTCCAAGTTAAAAACAGACTTCTGCAAGGTCTTCATCTACTGGAGCACAAACAGGCATTTAGCAGGGACCAGAATGTCAAGCACCTTATTGGAGTAAAGTTTTATGTCAAATTAAGTATTACTGTCCCTCAGGTACCTCCACATTTCTTGCCACTGAGAGTTAAATACCGATGGCAATGACAACCTATCCTGGAGGCTTGCTCAGGAGCAGTTGGGTGTGTAAGATTTCCATACCACTTGCCAACCAAAACATGAAGGAAAAAGTGTCCATTTGTATGGTTAAGATAGTGGAGCAGGGGAGAATCTAAGACAGCTTGGAAAAAAAGCAAACAGAAAATAACATTAACCTGAATGAACTGGGTATTGATGCAGGCAAGTTATGCTTACCAAATGGGTGAATGGCTGAAGACAGTGGGAAGTTAGGATTCAGTGGGTAGATAATTTAGGTTGAAATTTGTAGGTTTTTTATCCTCTATCCCTACGAATTTTTCCCCAAACCAATATGAGCTACTGAGGTTTGGAGGCATTTGACACATGCAAGAGTACTGTTTTTTGAGGTAACATCATGTTATGTGCAGACCTGTGGGAAGCAAGAGTCCCCAAGAATTTAAAGAAAAAAAAAAGGTATGATTAGCTTTCCATACCAGTTTTGCAGACACAAAAGGGTTAGACCCTTCAGAAGAGTTTCAGATACGGATACAATTCTTCAGATGAATACCGAATCTTGTATTCTCTTCTATAAGGGAGTTTCAACAGCTGTCTTTTTCCTCATCTTTTTCTTCATTTTCTTTGGAAGCTGATATTTGCTCTAGCATGGAAGAAGCCAAAAGTTCTGGAACAGTTATTGCTGGCTCTCAGAAATGCATGGAGATAGACACCAGCTGCTGGTCCTCACCGGCTCTGGCTGGTGACTGAGGAACACATTCTTCCTTTGAATCTCTCTGTCCCTCCAGGACATTCCCTCAGTATTTTTGCACCACATTTGAGCCCCTTTGTGGCCTCTCAGGGAAGGCAGCACACACACACACACAGACACACACAAAAAGAATATTCCAGGGATAGGTCAGCATGACACTCATAGAGTGTACAGGGAGAGGCTTAAACATACCCTCCAGCATATACAGAATCTTGCAGGCCTGAGCATGCTGATCAGGTTAGCATGCCAGTAGGGATGCTTGGTAAACTCTCTGCAGCCTGTTTGCAAGAAGGGAGCTCACCATGCTAAAAGGCGCTCCTAATTTTTTTGCCAATGTTGCCACTTTTTTCCCAGCTACCAGACAAAATCCTCGGTGCCAACTGGGACTGAAATTCAGATGCCAGTGGAGATATGTCTTCAGTGTCCAACTGGGTCCAAGTTCAGTGGGACTTGTAGGAACTTCCCCCCTTATTCAATGGATCCCTTCAGTCTGGAACTTTGAACATTGTCTACCCTTCTTTCAAAGGATCACTGCAAGGTGACACTGGTGTAAAGCCCCTCCAGCTACCTCTAACCAGCAGAGAAGACAGTTGTTCTTTGTATCTTCCTCAGATACTCCCTGTAGCTGATAATATACAGGTATTTTAGGGAGTCAGGTTCAGTTATGCATCTTTTGTAACAGAGTGCAGAAGTAAGGGTTAACAAACCCATGCTAAAATGTTTGCAGTTTTTCAGTAGTTCTACATTTGAATTATTAAGTGCAGAGATTTACAAAACAGCAGTTAGCTTGTCAGTTCTATTTGTGCCCTTACTCTTTCTGAGTTTTTAGACCCTTTCTTTTACTCTCTCTGTATTTTTCTTCTTAATGGTTTCTTCATGTTGTTGTTATTGTTACATTGGCTCAAAGGTAATTTTTCCTGGCAACACAACCTTTTATTTGGGGACTTATACTATTGTTGTCTTTTGAAAGGATTTTCCATTCTTCCTGGTAATTTTAATATCTTTCAATTTTTTTTCCTTTTCATCAAGCAAAAACCATTCTGTTGTGGCTAACTTTCCTGACTATTGTACTGAAAAAAATAATATATATATATATAAACACATGTATATCTTATATATATGATACACACACATATATATGTGCAAAATACCTACATGTATTCTATGATTCTGTGATTCTATGTAAAGTATATACCTTTGAAAACCACAGACAACCAGGCTAGGGAAGTATCAAGGGAAAGGTGACCTGCAGCTGATTTTGTGCAAACCATAAAAATTACTGCCTCCAGTCCATTATTCTACCATTGTGTCAACAGCATGGTTGTAAATGCTCTGTTCCTTGTTTGAGCCAGGGACTAGCAAAGAACAGCTGTGTACATCTCCTAAACCAGAATTGCTCATTTTCCTTGAAAAGGTCACTACCTGTTGAGACAGTTCAAGGGAACAGTTAGATGTAGCACTAACCTCTAGCTGGGAGTATGTGGTATGGGAAGCACTGAAGGAGTGGAGTGAGCTGACAGCTGTGAGTGGAATAAGTCGACTCATGTAGTTAATATAGGTGCAGCCAGATGTGGAAGGATGGTCATCACCAAAATATCCTATCTGCAGTACTGGGTAGAGAAGAGACATGGGATGACTAGATGCTACTGCAAAAGTGCAAGACAAAGCTGACTCTTCATCCCAGTTTCATGGGAAGTGGGTCAGAGCTAATGCTTTCAAGTCCTAGAAAAGATTACAATTTAAGTACTTTAATAAGAGCTTAGATTTTCCCTGGAGTCTGAGCCACCCAGCTCCCACTGAAAACCCTAGCCAAAGCTAAATGGATTTTTTTTTGCCAGACTGAGCACTCAGACATTACAACGACAATTGGAACAAATCCTAATAACATTGGGGTGGGGTGGGGAAGGGAAATGTGGTTTTTCAGAAATCACTATTTAGTACCTCTGAAAAAACAAATCATATCTACACTACTCACCCAAAACAACATAATTGCAATAAATGATTCATGCTCTTCCACCTCAAACTCAGTCATGGGTGGCTTTTCTGCACTCAAATGGCAGAAAAGCGTTT